CCGCGGCGGGGGGCGGGGGGGGGGAGTGAACGAGTGTCTGCGTGGTGCTCAGCTGCCGGCTGGGGTAAAACCACAACAATAATGTACACAAATCCTACTAAGATTTTAGAGGGAATTTATATTGGTAATATAGTAGCGACATTTACCAAAACTGTAATTCAGAAAGCTGGGCTTTAGGAAAGTTGAAGAGATTTTAGAGTTGAGACAAAAATCTAGAAGTTGTGTAAGGTTATGTTCAGAATGATTATTTACAGAGTGGGGCTTTAGAAATTGTGCCACTTGTTTCTATGTAACTTTGAAATCCAGAAAACAGAATCTAGATAGACTGAAGTTCTTAAAAGTTTCAGTGTTAAAAAATTGTCCCTTGTCAGTCACAGAAACTGAATACAAAAGTGAGAAGAATGTTGAAGACCAACATGTGCATGAGAAGAAAACAAGCTATAGGAGCAGGGTTTTTAGTTACAGGATATTTTTATGGACTTAAGCTATAAAAGTTAGAAAGGTATAACTAGAAAAGTAATACCATTTTAATCTTCTTAAATTCACAACTGTTTCATTTTTCTCAATCAAAAAACTGACTGAGCTTGGCAAAGTTAGCAGGGAGCCAAATTTAGACTTGCGATAGGAAGCTATCTTTAGAGTTAACTATGGAGAGACTAGCATCTCTGCAATTTTACACTCACTTCAGGTTAGAGTCATGTTCAAAAGTGTTGCTGTGGTCCAGGTCAAATCTTGACAAGTATGCTAAATAGGAAAAGAATGTCTGTGATTGATAGCAATTTAGAAAAGGAATCTAATCATTTGAGGTCCACACTCAGAAGGTGATAATGAAAAAAATCTGTGCTATACTTGATCATATTTTGGCGGGTATTATTTGGACTTAAATGTTTAGGCTGATTGTCCAGTTTGGGGTACAACAATGGAAAATACAACAATGATATTTATGCGCATTTATTTTCTATTAATCTGTCTTTAATTTTTTTTATTTTGTTTTGGTTTTAGCAGATATGACTTCATCCTCAATAATGTTATCCCTTACTTTTTCAAAAGAGAACTTTTGAAAACATTAATAGCATGAAAACATTAATAGCATGAAAACATTAATAATTATATCAAGAATTATTACCTTAGAGTGTTAAAGAGTATGTAGGTACTTAGAAAGCCGTCTGTAGACATGTTTTGTGGTAAATACATTAAGTTGGATATCATAAACATAAAAGCATCAATATAAGAAATAGGTATTTCTCAAAAGTAATATTACTGAGTTTTATCTATATTGAACAGTCATTTTCTTACCTAGATCTGTGCTATTACCACTGTCTGCTGTTGTAATGATCATTAGAATTTTAAGAAGACTCAGAGACTACCTAGGAAAAATATTTAGTTGTTTGTGTCTTCACCTTCACCTATTTCATCACCATCATCCATTCAGGCGTGTTTTCGCTATCTGTGTTGAAAGTTACAGAAATTGTTCAGTGATTAAATTAGCAAGTTTGCAATAATTTGCACATTATTGAAAGTTCAAGTTAAATAAAAAATAAGTAATAAACATGAGTGTGATAGCAGTTAAAAACCTTTTGCTTCAACAAACCAAAAAGTAAAAATTCATGTTTATTTGTAAGACACAGGAGAGTTTGCATGCTTCCTTAGGAGCATTAATTCTGCCTTAATTTATTCATTAAATCAAGAAGAGAGAACAAGTATGAGAGCAAGTTAGCTGTGTGGTTCTTCACAGCTTAGACCTGTTATCTGACAGCTACCCTAGAGTTGAAACTTTTAAGATGTGCCAGACTTCAGACTCCATGTTGTTCCTGTATATAGTTACTCTGCATTCATTACAGTAATAAAACCACTGACACAATAAGCTTTAACAATGATGGATTTTTGGCAAAGAAATTGTTCCCAAACATTCAAAACTCAACTGAATCCCCCAAAATAATGATACACAATATTGTATTGGTTTAGTTGCCTTTCACTTTGAAGGGATAAATTAATTTTATGTGATTATTATTTATTTATTTTGTTTAGAAAGTGATGATCCTAGGATAGCTAAAGACCAGCAGAGGCTAAAAAAATAAACTGCTGTGGAATATGTGATGAAATTATAAAATTTTGCAGTACTGTCTATAGAATATTCTTATTGTGATAAAGGACAATTAAGGATTTGTGTTAGACACAGATGATAACTCAAAATGAAGGCATAGTGAAGTCTGTATTTTAATGGAGCATTGAAAGATTATCATATGAAAATCCAGATCTATCGTTGGCTACTAGTTAACATATCCTGTGATTTTATGTTTCTTTCACATAACCTATAATTACTCTCCATAAATCATGATTTTATAATATATACATTGAAGTATATCTCTCTTAATCTACCTGAAAGTCACTTTTATCACTAATTGATAGGTAATTTTGCTTGCTGGGAACCATAATTTCTTTAGTTTAGATTTGAGAACAATTTGAACCGTAAAGAAACAGAGCTGAGTGAAGCTATTCAGAAGAAAAAAAAAAAAAAATTAAATTGCCGATTACTGTGTAAAAAGGGAATCTGTGCTAATGAGATTATAAAGACCTTTTTCTGTTATTTAAGACAGAGTTAATTCTCTTATTTAAGCAAAACATTTTAAAGATCGGTGTATTTGTACAACCCCAAAGACACTGAGTGTCTCAGACAGTTTTGATTCCCACTCTTATATTTTCCCATAATTGCTCTGGGTGAAATGTTGCCCTCAAGTCTCAGTCTTGGTACTGAAATCAGTGGGAGTCACACGAGTTCTACAAGGGCTGTAACTTGGAATTTAGTGAGCAGTAAATCAGTCTGACTCATATCACAACAGTTTTCAACATTTATATTAAGGAAGAGTTGTTTCAATTGGTGTGTCCCTGAGATCTCAAATGCTGGTCAGAGCTGATTCAAATGGTCTTTACAATCAGAATTTAAGCATAAGTTAAAATACACATTTGAAAAAAACTCTTTTTCAAACCAAATTATTCAGATCAAAGTAAATATATTTTAATGTAAATGAAATGAAATGAAATGAAATTAAATTAAATTAAACTAAATGTCCCACAAAATCATGGCTGCTGTACACTCCTACCAGGTAGTACTGCCTTAAATCTTCCCACTTACCCCATGCTTTTGTATTCTAGGACAGGACAGTGTTTTAGGGTGTTTCTGAGTCGGGATTTATGCAGACACAATACAGAGATAGAAGCCTTAAGATTTACACCAGCATTCCAAAAATGGCATCTGTACATCCTACCAGTGTTCTCCTGTGTTTAATACACAAAGTTAGCCATTCAGTAAATCATTTATTATGATTTTATCATGAAAGCAGAACATTACAGAGAGATCTAACTGTGCAATTTATCAAAATAAATAAGTTTTATAGTAGCCAGATCTTTCAACTTACCATAGTATACCATGTAAAAAATATTTCAGGACCTGAATCTTTCCATCCTGTGTATTGTCTGAGAGTAAGATACAAAGTCGGAGAGAAAGCAGCTTATTTTCCAGTAGCTGCATAGGATTTTTAATAGCACTGCCAATAAATAAAACAGTATTTTGAATGCAATAAAACCCACTTGTATATGCACTAAAATAGTCAATGAATATCACAGTAGAGGACTTTTATGTACATATTTTTCTTCACAAAAAAACCCTTAAAATGTATGTTGCAGTTACTACTTTTGCTTTACATCACTTAAACTTTGCTTTACATCACTTGTTTTTAATTCCTAGCCTGTTGGCATTGTTTTCCTGTAAGGCCAGTTTGGCATCCATTGTGTTCTCCATGAAGGAACAAGTCTTGGTCTTGCAGTGTTACAAAATTGGTGCCTAACAGCTCTTTCATCTTTCAAGCTAAGAAGTACCCGAGCACAAAGGATAGAAGATAAAACAAGACAATGTCAGCTATCCTGTTATTTATAGGTTTCTTTGTATCCTTAACAGCCTTTAGTCATTATTAATATGTTTGTGTTTTAAACCTTTCTCCATGTAGAGACATAATTTTGCAAATGCCAGAAATGGCCAATATAGGGTTGAAATGTTAATAGATTTAATAAATTGCCTGCTCAGTAGATTTTGGGTTTCTAAGGTATGTTGACCGCTTATTTTCTTTCTTTTGCAGATTGTAGCTTTGCGTGAACAAAACGCACACATTCAAAGGAAAATGGCAGCTGGTGAAGGGCCTGCCGAATCAGAGCACATTGAAGGAATGGAGCCAGGGCAAAAGGTTCATGAAAAGGTATAAAATGTTAGTTTTCATTGGATCACACAATCAATATGAGAAATAGTCATATTTCTCGTGTGTAAGATTTTTGTAATGTGAATAATTTGTGGGACTTTCCTTTAGAATATTGTCTGCCTACTGAAAGTAGAATCAAAAAAATGAGCTTGTTTAAATGGAAAGGAAATGCAAACGGGCAGGTCCTTGCTTTTTGATAGGGTATTGAATTAGACCCACAGCTTATAAGAAACTTTTCTTGGAATTTTTTATGTAATGCTACAGTTAAGGATGCTATATCCTGCTGAGTGATCCTCTGTATGTCACATCATACAGAAGAGCAGGGTGTAGTGGAATTTACATGCAAAGGGGTAAATATTCAAAATCTGTTGCCAAAATAGTCCTTAAGGGGAGGACAGAGACCTAAAAGCTAGAAAAAGTAATTTTCCTCTGCGCTACCTATAGATACTCTTCAAATTCATCTGTGTTCATACAGAGAAAAGTGAAAAACATTTTACTTATTTAGCACTCGTTCAATATGAAATAGGCATGTAGAATTTAGGCTAAATATTTGCTGCTTAAGGCTGAAAGAGAAAAAAAAAAAAATCTTTAGAAACAAGGTTTTCTTCCAAGTCTCAGGTTTCCAGACTGATGAAAACCAAGTTTCTTATCTTCCTCTCTTGCTTTACAGTTATTAAATTGAAGTGCAAGCATAACATAGCATTTGGCAGACAGCCGAAATGAGTAGAGTTGCTGCTTGGATCTCTAATTGTGCAGTTATGTCTAATGGCATGTGATGAACAGTGGCATAAATCATATTTCTAAAAAATAACACTTGTCATTACTTATTTATTTTATAGGCAATCCAATTTACAAGGACTCACTTGCACTGCAAGCATTAATTTTGCATGTTTTGTGGTTTATTTTCTGTGTGTATTTTTCTTTGAGTAATCTATGTGGTTGAGAAACATAACAGTAAATACTGTTCAGCTACTTTCCTCTTCCATGCAAAATCTTACTCTTGGACATATCTGTGAAATTTTGTTAAAACAGTGAACATCCCACTAGCTTGTGTTTTTAAATACAATCACACTGCTCAGCTAAAAATCACTTTTTCCACTTTCTTTGCAAGCTGTCTTCTGCTTTGAGCCATTGGGCTCATTACTTATAAGCAGAACTAAGTGGAAGTAAGAATATCTGTCCTTTAAGAAATCTTCATATTTAAAAATTAGTGAAAGGGGAATGAAAAGACATTATTATCATTTTATATGAAGTGTTTCTAGAATATTATGTGCAGAAAACTTATATGCTTCATAGAACAATTTAAGTTGATCTTGTTAAGCTGAATTAAAGTCTTGTGCTTACTAATTTTTGCTCCTTATAGTAATGAAAGCATACTAGATAAGAAGTTAACAAGAGGCAATATTGACACCAGATCAACCAGTGCGCTCTAATTCACAATCTCTGCGCCAGCTGCTCTCTCCCTTTCTGCTATTACTTTAGTGCCCGCCATCAATTCCTCCTTAGTTTGTGAAGTCTCCACTTTGTAAAATATCTCAGTTTAAGCCCAGACTCTAAGCATTCATTTAGAAAATATTCCTTCAACTTCAGCAGTGGGCATGGAGAACAATAAGCTATGACATAATGGTTTGCACCCTCTTATAATACAAGAGGTCAAGGTTCCCTATATAATATGGGAAACAGGCTTGTAATAATTCTGCAGAGGTGGATCTGGGGATTAATGGGGATAATAAAAATATCATGGACCAGCAGTATAAAGGCAAATGCCGTGATAGGACAGCTAAACAGAAAGAGAACCTGCAGGACGTGAAATGTTCCTGAACCTTCCTCAGCACTGGTAAGGCTTCAGCTGAGGTCTTGTACCCAGCTTTGGGTCCCACACTTGAGAAGAGAAGTAGACCATCTTGAGAAGAATTCAGGAGATGATAGCAATAAAAACAGTCAGAAACCTAGAGAATGTAACCTGTGAGAAGAATTTTCAAAATGTAGGCTGAAAGCCTAGAGAGGAAAAGACTAATGGGCACAGAATTATTATCTTCAAATATATAAAATGTAGCTTCAGATATAAAGGGAATCAGTCAAGGAGTCTTGAGAATTGGAAACTTTTAAGGATTTTTTAGGAGAAATAACCTACATTTGAGACAGGATACAGTGCTCAGAAGGTGGTGAGCTAGGTGGCTAGCTCTATGATTCTGTATTACAGGCCAGCCAGAGCACCATTTTAAATTCTATATTCACAAGCACTGTCCTCCGATTGAAGCACCAAGGCTTCCAACAGTAATATATTAAATCCCAATAAAGGTGGTAATATATTCAGTAATTGCTACAGAACTCTGACTACAAAAGCAGTTTTATGAGATAATAAAGCAAGGCATATGTCCTTCTCATTGACAACTACATGGCCAATTCTTATGTGTGAAGGCTAAGAGGAATTTTAAAATAGAGAAAGCAGAGAAAAAAATATTCTGATGATAAAACTAATGAAACAAAGACAAGTAATAAATATGAGAAACAGTTATTGAGTGTGTAGAGTGATCCAAGAACATGCAAAACCCCAGACATGGCCATTTTGCCATGTATCAGTGTAATTTTTTTTAATGTAAAATAATGAAATCATATTATTTAAATCTGTAAGAAAAATTTCAAAGGATAAAGAAAATAAAGATATTATGGCATACCAATGATACAGTTAATGTAGCACTTCTTCTCAGTTCCAAACTGTGAGATGTTTTAGAGAAAATCCATCAAAACAAATATTTGGGATTATTCCTGTGCAAGATTTTTTTTCAAAGTTCTATTTTGTTATGTGTAGTATTATATCAGAAACATTTTTTCCAGTCCTATCTGAAGTCACTTTGAATAGCCTTATAATTCATATTATGAGCAAAATAAACATATCTAGAAAGAGAGAAAAAGAGATTCTACACTACCAGTATAAAACCCAGATGTATTTTTATGGAACTTCACTTCATCATTCTTTTTTTTTTCTTTTTTTCAGACAAAAGTCTATACAAAGGCCAATATTTTGGTTTGAAAAAAAAATAAAAATTGTACATATCAAAGACCAACATCAGATTATTTGCCCATCTAACTTACAACCCATTGTGCTGTTTCCTGTGTAATTTTAAGTCAGTATGATTCATTCTGGTTTTATCAAAAAGCAATATAAAAGCCTTTGTAAGTGTATGAAGTAATGATTTAGTTACTTAAGGAATCCAATGTCTCTACTTTTATTTGCCATTTTGAGCTATCAGTAATTTTCATCTATATCCAATCAATGGTCACGGTCAGACTGGAGGAAGGAAATATTTTTCCACAAAGTTTGAAGGATAATTTGTCAAGATACCCCAAATATAAGATTTTCCTTACTAAAATAGTAGTTAGTACATTTAAAGACAAATTGGGATGGTGAACCGTGGCTGAATGTCATGCACTGTCTACCATGAGTAACTGAAGCAAGAAATAGGAATGAGTCTCAGATCCTGATAGGAGGCATGGTGTGCTCTCATTTCTTGCTATAAACTGTCCCTTTGAAGTGGTGTTTGCTGGACCCCCAAATATAAGATCCCGAGAAAAAGTATTTTGTTTGCAAATAAAGTCATTATTTCATGCCGATACTTATTTCAGCTTCATAAGAGCTATGGAAATGTAATTATTCAATAAAATGGAATGCTTTCAGAAATGCTCATATGCAAATTGGGAAGAATTGAAGTCGCTTTGGAAAACATTTTTTGTTTGTATACCTTAAACGTCCACCATTAAAGGATCTCCTTCACTTACAATGATCTCTTTCCTTGATGGTTCAAAATTCATCGCCTATTTCTGGCCCATACTGGAGAATACTCCACAGTAAGTTCCATGCCACATCTTTTAATTCAAACACATAACAAATCATTGCTATAATTCTTCTGAAGTTAAGAGAGTTTTATCAGAGAAGACTTGGCCTGGGGAATGACTATTTTTATCCTCAAAGATGCCTTGTATGCAAAGGAGGATTCCTCTTTGGCAAAGCACTTGAGCATGGACTTCTGTTACACCGAAGACATGAAAGCTAAGCATTTAAGTGCAGCGTAAATCAGGATGTTTCTCCTTGGCAGCACACTGTTTCTGTTTTTAAACTTGATCGCTGACATTTGTAGCTGCAACTTGTAAACACTAGTAAAATACAAAGCCTATTTGTCCTTATTTGGTGCCTTTATTTTTTTTTAATATTTCATATGTCACTATGATATCAAAAACCTGCTAATAAGGGAACTCTTCCTTATTCCAAGATACATAACTGTACCATTAAAACTCATTCTAGTTTTGTGTTTTTACCAACTTTTTATAACAAGTATACCACCCTGGTCCTACCCATAGTAAGGGCAGTTTTAGCATCATAGTTGTGCCTTTCCCCACAGAATGATAAACTAGGACATTTTAGGCATGTGGAAACAGATACGTATGCCAGGTAAAACAGTCCGATAGTTCTGGTGCAACAAAGACATTTTTCTCCTAAATAAATAATGGTACATTTCATGAGGAACTCAGAGCTGTATATAATTACTTTTTACATATATTAAACATAATATACCTCGGGCAGTTCACATTCAGCTTATTTAAGAATCACGTTTTCTTCTTACTCATAACACTAACATATTCCAATAATTTAATCAAATGGCAGTAATTTATAAATACTAAAATCTGTTAAAACATTGACAGCAATTATAGATATTGTATCCTGTAGGAGTAAAAGCTGTTTTGCCAAAGCAAACACAGTGGGCTAAAATCCTCAGAGTGCAGATCAAATAAAATTAAAATGAAATAATATAATAAAAGTAACAGATCACTTTCAGAGCAGTGATTCATGAGAACCTGTTCCATTTTTGGACTTGACTATTTTTGGATTTTTTGATCACTTTCTGTGGTCAGTAGAAAACTGCAGAAGAAGACCTTCCATTTCAGTTTTTACTTATTAATTTATATCACATGTGCTCCTTTTTTTTGAATTAATAGATTAA